CACCCCTTTTTGTGTCCTGCGGGCCTGCGGGCCGCTTTATGCACGAACCACGAACCACGCACCACAGTGAGTGCAGAAGTAGCGACGCACAGACAGCAGAAGTAGCGAGCGGTCTGCTGCTGCAGCTGCGACTGGGTGTTGGCATGGATAGATTGCTCCCATCTACCGGCGGTCCATCTGATGCCGCCAAAAAAAAGAGTCGTGCNTTATGCACGAACCACGAACCACGCACCACAGTGAGTGCAGAAGTAGCGACGCACAGACAGCAGAAGTAGCGAGCGGTCTGCTGCTGCAGCTGCGACTGGGTGTTGGTATGGATAGATTGCTCCCATCTACCGGCGGTCCATCTGATGCCGCCAAAAAAAAGAGTCGTGCATAACCTCGTCCCTTACCGAGGGCGAGGTTATCTCTCGCTTGGAGGACGTTCGATCCTACAGATAGCGCCCGCAGTTAAGAAACGTCAAAATCGGATCGAGCCTCAATCCCTTCTTTTGGGTCGAAGTACCGGCTCATGTCGTCCTTAAACCGGGGTCGACTGTACGTGTTGGGTTGATTTATTGGCGCTGTGATCTGCAATCGCTGCCCGGAGTATATGTCCGATTTTCCTCCTTGGCCGAAGCATTCCATAGGTGACACAAGATACCACAACCACAGAAGATACCATACCCCTAACGAAATTTTCTGGGTGGCTTCAACTCGCGTAAACGATGATGATGGACGTGATGTAATATTAATATATAGTCGAGGCAAAACTCATTGTTTTTTTTGTCGCTTCGATTGACTCCACCTTGTTGATTTACGTCTCGATGACGGTGGCTCAGATACATGCACGCACTATTGATTCGAGGATGCACGTTTCCGGAACCAATCTCAATCTTCCTTCCAATGACATCAGGCCGGGCTCCCTCCGATCCCCCGCCCCCTCACTTTCAAGCACAAAATGTTCAAAATAGTTGTCAGGACGAATATGAATAGTTGACAGAGAGTTGCCTCCGGGAGTAGTCGCTCCGAACCAAATGTTTGCGCAGCTTTTCAAGACAGCGATTGGCAGGAACCAAATATTTGCGCAGCTTTTCAAAACAGTAGTTGACTGGAACCAAGTATTTGCGCAGCTTTTCAAAACAGTAGTTGACTGCAATCAAATATTTGCGCAGCTTTTCGAAACAGTAGTTAACTGCAATCAAATTTTGCTCAACATTTCTGGAAAGTACTTGATTGCTATCAAATAGTTGCTCAGCTTTTCAAAACAATAGTTGACTGGAACATAATAATTGCGCAGCTTTTCAGGAAAGTAGTTGATTCCCGATCAACTACCAAATACTGTATTTGTACAGGGTGTGGAAATTTTACAGAAAACCACACCTGTGTGATAATTTTTCGCGTCCTGGAAAAAAGCATCGATTTTTATCACACGGTCACAGAAGATACCACACCCCCTAACTTAGGCCGCAAATAATAGTCACGGAGCCCCCTATCACACCGGTGTGGTTGTCCGTGATCATGCACATAGCGCACGTCGCAACCCTGCAATCCAGCTATGGCGGCCGACAACACCGTGGAGATGAACGAAGCACACAACAATGCTCAAAGCATCGCGGCTCAGACTCCAGCGGCAGCGCCACGCCCAATTACGTCATTTTTCTCTGTGGCGCCTGAGACGCCCGTAGTACCCGGTATGCCTGTCACCACCCGTGCTGCCGAGGCCTGCGCAGCAGAACCTACTGCTGACACTCCCCCAACAACACCTGCTGTGCCTGGCACCGCCCGTGCTGCTGAGGTCCGCGCAGCAGATTCTACTACTGCTGACACTCCCGCAACAACACCAGCTGTGCCTGGCACCGCCCGTGCTGCTGAGGTCCGCGCAGCAGATTCTACTACTGCTGACACTCCCGCAACAACACCAGCTGTGCCTGGCACCGCCCGTGCTGCTGAGGTCCGCGCAGCAGATTCTACTACTGCTGACACTCCCGCAACAACACCAGCTGTGCCTGGCACCGCCCGTGCTGCTGACGCCCACACGACACCACCCGCAACCCAGAATTATCGGGAGTACTTCATGATGACAATAGGCGTAACGTTATCAAACTCCATGACTATCACACCCCTCGTTATCGCGCACGCTGTAGGTTGGGTCGTGTGGGCACACTTCTTCCCACGGGTGACATTTTCACACCCCATCTTTATCACACCCCCTGTGGGTGGGGCCGTGTAGGCGCAGTTCATTCCATGGGTGACATTATCACCCCCCCTTTTTATCACACACCCCTGTTACCACACCCCCTGCGGGGTGGAATCCTCTGAGAGCAGTTTATCACACGGGTTACACAAGATATCACACCCCCTACAGATTACCACACCCGTGTGATAACTTTTGGACTTTCAAAAAAGTTATCACACGGGTGTGGTACCTTGTGTCACCTACGGTAGGCTAGACCGGCAAGAGGGCCACAGCACACCCGAAACAAGCTGTTTCAATGTCTGGGGTGGCATCTTTCTAGCCCCCCGCCACACACATCGTGTCCCCGTCGCCCCCAGGGAGACCCTTATCCAGGCAATGGCTACTTCGTGTGTTCATTCCTCAAACCTCCAGTAACGTGCTGTGCCCCTGCCCCACGCTACCCTCTGCATCAGGGAATATGCGTTCGCTTGGAGAGCGAGACGGCGGGGCTAGGATTTGGTGGCAGCTTGCTTCACTTTCTACGTCTCGGCTCCGTGTCTTCCCTCTCCGTTGTTCAGGCGAGAATACACCGCCAGTTGGCCGTTGTGTTGATTGTTTCGTAAGGCCTTGGTGGAGCGTGTGTTGCAGGAGTACATGAGTGGTTGCTGCTAGAGTCGATCGGTCAGTGCAGTGGACCATTGGTCAGCAAGGCCTTAAAAAAACCGCGACCTGGGTTTCTCTTGTTGCCGTGCCTGGCGAAGAAAAGGGGCGTTCCTCATGGCATGCCATGTGAAGTACCTGGACACGGCACGCTGCAGTAACTTCGCACATGATGGCGCTACTTACAAGCAGAAACATCTCTTCGCCTGTTCCTTCGACGTATATACGCAAACTGATGCAGGCACTGTTTGAACGCGTACATTGCTCGGGTGCTGAAGGAAACCATGTCGAAGACCTCGCATCCAAGGTGTGAAGAGAGATTAAAACCGGGAATCTCTTTTTCCAGTTGAAAAGTGCACCTTGCCACAAACCTTGGAACGTTCTTCTATGTGTCCAAAGTTGGATCGCAGCCATGATAACCTATGTGCAATGTGGTCTTCTTGGTCTTCCTGCTGAGCCCGTCCAGGGCTGTTGGGTAGCAGAAAAACAAATATCATTGCATTTTTCTTGGCCTGTGCTCCAGTCCCACCCTGATCCTTTGTGCCTTTCGCCGCTATGTACTGAATCCACAGCTGTGCGAACCACGACGGCGTCTTCTGGACGAAGTTCTGCGCCGAGAGTACACCCTGTACCGAGCGCGGTTCTTCCACCGGGGACTCGGCCGTGCTCTTCCCTCCTCCGTCGTTCCAGGTCCGACCACCCCGGGAGTTTCCTCGCCAGCAAGGGCGAAGCGACACGACGGGCGGGGGGAAGACGGCTGGATGGGCATAGTGCCTGGTTGGGTGTGGGAAGAGCTGAGAAAGGGGCAGCTAGACGCGAGAAAGGTTAGGCGCTGATTGGTGGGGCGTGACGCGTAGACGAGAGAGTTGGTGTGGGTTTGGAGAGAGCAGGCCCGGCATGTCTTGTCGTGCGGCGGGAGCGAAGTGGTAATTGGGTAACACGTGTCTGGCACGCTTTTTGCACGCAACCTTGTGGACATCCAGCACCTTCTCTGGCGCTACAACACCGCTGGTACTCTGAATAAAATTTCGAGGCGCAAACTGGAGAGGTCCGTGGTGACTCTCCTTCCCTCATGTTTGAGAGCGGGGTTCGCTCCCCGTCCCGTTTTATTGTGGCCACTGTTCATCGCATTCGTTTTCGGCAGAATTTGCGATAAACGTTGCTGCCGTCGCTTGGCGTCTGTCTCGTGCGTCTGTCGTCGATGCCCACACGCTAAATAGACACAGCACAATCCTGAAGAGATGAGGTTGGCCGGGTCGACGGAGCCTTCGAGCGTACACGACCGAGTGTTTTCGGCGATCCAGGTGAAGTCAAACGCTCCGGCCTGGGCCACCTAATTTGGTGCACGATGGAAGTTGGTTTCGTTTTGTGTGTAGCTGTTTCTCCAGGCCTTTCTCCTTCCCCGAGCTGCCGAAAACAAGTGCGCACGCTCGTAGGTATATTTTGCTTCAGAGGGAGCATACATCCAGCTGCCTCCCGTTGTATTTTTCTAGGCGCGGCGGTCGTCCGTTGCAACAATAACTTAGTTATGCATCCCACCGGAGGAAGCGCTGGTCGAAGCGTGGAGGGTGTCGCCCGCGGCTTCAATCGCCCTTCCACCATCACCAAGTGCTGACACCAGCTTTGAAAGGCGTTCCAAAGCAATCTCCGCACTTGGGTGCCAAGAAAATATGCAACCGTTGTTGACTTGGGCTGCCGCCAACCTTCGTGATTGGACAAGTAAAGACGAGACTGTCAGTCACATCCAACACTTCCTATTATAACACGCTATGATGTGTTGCGGCGCCCTGCTATCTCGCGGGTGAGCTGTAGCGGGTTGTATTTTGTATCTTGTCGAGTCACCGCGGGGCTGAGGTCCTTGGTTAGTTGTGGTGGTGCCGTGCACTCACACGGAAACCGATGACTCGTGCGTTCGGGCTTTGTTATTCGAAATAACCTGAATCTGCAGGCCCGCCTGACGACTGGAGCCCGCCTTCACCCCTCGCTGGCACCGTACTGGGCCTGTGCAGTGGTCAAGATGATGCTCGTCCCGTCTCAGGCAAGCAATTTTCGACTACCGCATGAGCTTCTTCTTTCACATTTTGCGTAGTCAGCCTGCCAGAACGAAAGCTGCACCTGCTTTGGTGTTCACACGTGACTAATCATGGCATTCGCGTGGGTCACGAGGTCTCACGTCGAGAAATGCTGGGATACCAGCTCTTCGATTGACCCGGAGCTGTTATGCAAGGGCTTGTACTCCCCTCCATCATGACGACTTTATCGGCCGGTGACTAGGCAAGTCGTACCTCTCCGCAAACGACTATTATACTCCGAGATATCGAATGTGAGGTGTCAAAGCCTGTGTCACATGGAGTCTAGCCACGTCGGTATATTAGTGTTCATGCCCTCGTTCTCCTCCTCCACGTACTCCTTCCTCAAAACCAACCCACGCTGTCCGCTTCTCATCACCCAAGAAAGTGTTGGCCGCGCATTAGGCACTTCCGGTTAGCTGATGAGAAGTTGCTAGGGTCGTTGTTGGTTGCGTGACAAACCAAATATAGCCGTCCGAGGTCTCGGTCTATTTCCCCACCTAGCCTCCCTTCTATCTGCCATTCCGCCTGCAGGCGATATCACTTCTCATACATCTGGCGGAAGAGTTTTGCCTCGGCGCCCCATACGCCGGGGACGTCGTTCCTGATCTTCTCGACAGCGCGTTCGGCGTGTTGAGGGAACCGCCGCCCCGGTCAACCATCACCTCCGGCGTCCCCCCTGCTGTTGCCGCTCGTGCGTCCTCTCCTGGCCGTGCTGTGGCTGAAACGAAGCGGGAGACGTCCGTATTTCGGCGTCTGTATCACCAACCGCTAGCGACAGAGGAAGGCTTGAGGTCGGCGTTCGGGGGGGAAGAGGCGTTGGCACGGTTCTTGACAGCAAAAGTGCCTCCACCACCACCTACAAGCTACAGCCCGCGGGGCACCCTTGCTTAGAAGTTCGTCCTTTTCCTTGTATTTCCACACCCGGTGAAGAGTTCATGTTCCTGACGCTGCGTGCGACGCCGGGGTTTGCTGTAGCTGAGACGTAATGAAGGAGTCGGTGTTTTATGTTTGTGGGACAGTCAGCTGACCTAAACGACTTCCCTTGTACGCCGATACTTAAGCTGAAAGACACGTCAATGTAAAAGCTGTTGCTTACCTGCTGTCCTGGCGCTGTACCTCTGGACAATTCGAATGGAGGGCCGGTGGGTGGAAAAGCAACAGGAAGTGTCGATCGGGCGAATCGTCTGCGGCGGTGCGCCAGATTATTCCACTGTGGGTCATATATGTATGTAGCCATACCGCAGACCGCACGAGCAACAAAGGGCCACATTGACCCCTGCAATGATACCCAGCACACAGAGCCAGCCGTTTCGGAGGTCGATGATACCATGAAGAGCGCGTGTCCGTCAGACTTGGCCGGGTTCTTTAGCACATGTTGGCCACACGGCATGAGCGTATCGTAACTGGCTCTTTCTATATTGTGTATAAGTTGTTCGTAGAGCCGAAGCCGATCGGTTCAGATAGTTGTCTCTCGCCCCAAAGTAGTCATTTGCTGTGATGGCATGCTGCGGCAGCAAAGTAGACATGGTCCACAAGCTGATGCGCGGAAGCACATCGTGAACTTGCGCAGGATTAAAACAGGCGGGCCTTCGGCTTCATATATCGGCGAAGCCCCCCTCCGTCTCATTCTTCGCTTCTGTGGCGGAACCAACCATGTTCTTGAAGTCCTCGACTGAATTCATACATAAGTTCCCACCAAGCACTCGGTGCCAAAACATGGCGGGTATCCTCAACGGCGATTCGTGAACTTTTCCTCTTGTTCGATCGCTCCAGCTGAATTATCACGTGCGTGGTGTTGTCAATAGCCTCTCCCTCTGCACCACGCATGCACCCGTCGCCAGAATAAACATTGATCCCCGTTTGCTTTGCTGTCCTGCCGTTTTGAGTTCGTCTCGGAGACTGCATGGAGTCACCCCGCCGCGCTCACTACTTTGTCGTGCGTCCGCTGATAAATCGCCGCCTTGATCACAAGCAAGCCCCAGATATTGCGCCATCCATGGGGGGGACGACCAGGTCCTTTTTCAGCCGCTTAAATAGCTACCCTTCGTGATCGACGCCGGATCACGACTCATATCACTATGAGGGCCGGGGGCGGATCAGTTCGCGGAGAACAGATGTCCCCGGCAACTGAGCGTGCAGAGCCTCACATAGCTGAAGCATGTGTAGCACCGAACGCGACAGGGCGTAGGCTGAGCTACGGCATCCGTCGCCGCCATCGCTGCCTTCAGTCGGGGGAGGCACAGACCGTAGAAGGGGCTCCACCAGTGGCTACAGCCGTGTCGTTTTCGAACGCGCAGTTTCCCGCAGCACATGCAGGGGCGACGCGGGAAGTGGACGTGGGTTTCCAGTGGTCGAGTCGCAAGCATGCCGGGCGAAGAGACGGAGTAAGACATACGGATAGAACGGCGATTGAGCGAAACGAGATCATCGACAATGTGACTTGATTTGAGACATTTCCCCAACACGCATTTCTTTTACCTTGAGATATCCATGGAAAGTGTCTTTGGTCCGTTCATTCTGTGCAAAAACCGCCCGTTATTCTTGGGGCACTGCACCATAGCGAGGGTGCAGGTGTGGTCTTGGCCGGGTTTCTCGAACAACAGCGAGCGGGTAGATTGAACAACTCAGAGGCACCTAAGCACGCCAGCACCCTTTCGTACCTTAAGCGCGTTCAGGTCGTAAGGGAGCGCTGTGTTTATCTGAACATCCGCGGCTGCCTGGAAAGTCCGCCAAAAGCCCTGTTCTCTTTGTTCGGCCACATGCCATTTTTCGAGAAAGCGAGCCACGAAGTTTGAGCGTTTGACGATACTCCGACCGTTGCTGGCTTTGGCCAAAACCTCTGCCTGCGCCGTCTTTGCAAGCCTTCCCCGTGCGGCGAGGAGGGCTCTTAACATCCGAACGTCGGCACCGTTGACGGGGGTCACGTTGTCAACACAGACCTGTCATTGTTTTTGGTATGAAAAAGCGGAACACACATTTGTGCTTGTTGACAAACATTACGCGCACAATTGCACAAATTACATGCCCCCGGACAAGGGCGGCCCTGAGCAGTCATACACGACAGTTCTGCTGACGCACGGGTAACTACTCGCGCTTTCGTGCACATCGCACGCACAATACTGTAGGGCGCTTTTCGCATCGTCGCTGCGGGATTCTCGCTTGTCGCTCGTGTGACCCAAGACTCGACTCACATACCTGAGGAACTACGTCGACAAAAACCTTGATAGCTTTCGCCGGGCGGAGATCGATATCCTCCATTGATAGAAGGTCAGCATCTAACGCACTGCAGCCATGAACGACCACAATGTCGTGCCACCCCCGCGAGGTCGCCCTAGCCCCCGCAACAGCGTTTCCGTCCGATACTGCCAGACCACCGCTGTTATTCCCACTGGAAAAACCACCCCCGTCTTGATCCTGCCCGAGAAGGGCAGCCACAACCCTGCCCAACGCTGCCAAGTCTAGTTGCTGGTTCGACACAGATGCTGAGGAACTGGCGTGGGGTTGACTCTGACCCATGTATGCTTCAGCGCGAGCCTCTGGTGCCTCCTGACGACGGTAGTTCTGGGTGTTAACCTGTGAATGGTTTGGTAAAACGGAGGCGAAGATTGTAAGAATTTGTTGTTCTTGATGACATCTACGAGCACGTTGGAGTTGAGAAGAATTATCATGGCTAATTCGATGGCCAATCTTGGTTTATTTCTCCATGATGCGGAATGAGCCATCACATCGTGAACGAAAGAGACTCACGGTTTAGGAAGCCCGTCCTGGAGCGGCCTCTACTTTCTGCTGGCACCTAGTAGGCATCAACCCCGTCCAATTACTTGACGATCTACACCAAACCCGGCCTCTTGGCCGGAACTTTGATCTCTTAAAACTGTTGATGTGTTCAAACAACAAATACTACCAGATATCTTCTCACCACTGCCGGACTCTTGCCCTTGATCGTGAGCTCGACACAGAGGCGCGAGGCGACCACGTCCGCTGACGCTCCTTGACGCCCCGCAAGGATCACCAACTGGGCATTGGAAAGGATGATCGTCTTGGCGAGCGCTCCCAGCTACGCACGGAAAACAAGGATGTTTGGACGTTGTCTGACCCCTGCTTGAAGGCTTCAGGCGTTGTCGGGGGTGCACTCTAGCTCAAGAAAGCTGCGGATCAGTGTTCTGTTACTCTAGATGAACGAATGTCAGCCGAGATTTTTGTCGACGTTTCTCGACAATTGTTAGTAGAAAACAAGAGAAGAACGCTGCAAGCAGGAGAACGACTGAATGGCCACAATCATGACTGACGGTAAATATCGACCGGGAACAATGTGATCACCCCATGACTTAAGAGTCTGCACCACCGACCGCCTATACTCAGCTACCACCCACCTGGTCTGTGTGCAGGCCTTCGGCTAGAAGTAGCTTGCGCTCGAGGTCCGTTGGCGAGCCGAGGGCTAGCCTGTTCACCGCCGCTACGCACCTCAAACCGGTGATATCCTTCCATTTCGAAATGTCTGCAGTACACGTGGGCGACACGCACTCGAGTCGAGCACTACCATTGTGCCGTGGAAGATCGGCGATGGCCGCGTCGGACCCGATGGCGTTGCGTGCTGATCCTTGTGACTTGGTACCTGTGTATCCGCCGCTAGATCCGATGGACTGATAACCGTCGCCACGAAGAACACCTGGCAAGCCGCTGGTGTTGAATACGGCCGAGTCGGAGAAGCTCAAGGCGAGGTAATCGGCAGGTTCTTGATGGGCGTACCCTTCTCCGCTTGTCGACCTCGGCAGAGGGAGCACCACGGGGTGAATGCTCACGCTGAAGCACCCCAGTAAACCTGTCCTGGGCAACAAAGTCCATTGCCCGTGTTTGATACCAATGAACGGCGACCCGTCCGGGCGCGCGAGCGCCTTCCTCAACTCAACCAGGTCAAGAGAATCGCCACCGCTCCCGGGTACTTGGTCGACTGTGTGAGATGCAAATGGCATCGGGGCGAAACGCATCAGGTCCGTTGTGCCTTCATTGCACCATTTGAGGAGCTCCTCCGAAGACGAGCCGGTGTCCATCTTCTCCAAAGCCTCCCTGTGGCAAAGCCGCACCGTGTCGATCTCGAGATCAACCGCCACTATCTCATTAAAAGCAGCCTGTAGACGACCGGCAAGTGCTGACAATGGCGCCGGAGCTTCTCCCTCCTCTCTTTCGACGAGTGGAGCCGGGCAGAGTTCTAACAATATTCCATCTTGCCACACTCCCGTCACCTCCACGCGGTGGTGAGGCAGCGCCAATTTCGCGGCACCCGTGGCGACGGCAGCAGCCGTACGAAGGACGACTCGTCGCCCTTCGGGTTCGCCGGCCAACAGAGGCGCGACCAGGCGCATGTGAGGCGCTGCTGCTTCCGTGAGGGGTAAGATGCACCCGCTTGACCAGGCGGCCACCACAAGGTTGGCACCGTCCGAAACAGAGCACGGCGACGGCCGCTTCCCGTTCGAACGTAGGTTCTCGCCTCGGAGACAATCGGCACCTGCTCCCGTACTATGGGAGGAGGCGTTCCCGATACTTGAGTGGGGTCCCGCTCGGGACCCATCAGGACCGTTTGCTGCACCATCCAAACGGCGGCGCGCCATGTGGTGGTCGATGACCTGCTCGAGAGTAACGTCGGCGGTACTTCGGCGTTTGGTGCCCCTTCGTGCCTCGGCCACTTTCTTCTTGGTACCCGATTCGAAACCTTTCGAGGTCCGGGCCGTACGTTCGCAAGACCTCTGATTTATTCTACCCGAATGGCCACCGTCGTAGTTTCCATAACATCCTCGACTTCTGTCTACTCCCCTGTCAGTGCTAGTCAGAGTAGCGTAGCGCGCGGTATTTCTGGTTGAACCTCCCTTGGAGTCTTGCTGAGACCGGTCCAGCCCTGTCGCCGGATCGCGAAATAGTGGGCTGCTACCAGTCGGGGGAGCCACATACTTTCCAGCTTGCGGATGCCGTTGAAGCTTCGGTGTCGCCGTGGGGGGAGGAAGGGCTGACGTTTTGCTGCACCTCGTATCCCCCCTGTTCACATTCCCTTCGTCTTGCTTAAAGGCAAAGCGCGGCCCCTTCTCTTCTCTGGAACCGCGGCGATCAAGTTCATGAACTATCGTGGAGGTCGAAGAGATGGTGTCCGTCTGCTTGCCTACCGATTCAACCTCTTGATGAGCAGCGTCGGTAGCGTCTTCCGCCGCTCCCTTGCCGCAGTGCTGATTCACCAGGCAGTCGGTCGGGTCGGACCCCTCTTGCGCTGATTCGTCCTGGTGGCGACGAGCATCTGCGCGAACATAAAAAATTGGTGACGAACTCATCTGTGTGTTCCACTCTCTTTGGGATACAACCTGCAATATTGTGCTCACCCCCCAGGAATGTCTTGCACCGTTGTTTTTTCGACTCACCTTGGATGTGTGGTTGGTTAACAGACCCTGCTTCTCCTCCTCCTCCGCCTCTCTCCAAGTCGTCGGCTTGTTGAGCGAAAGGTTCCTCGTCATTTTTTGTAGGACTCTGCTGCTGATTCGGCAGTTGAGGATCCAATCCTCCAGCAACCAGCCCGGCACTGCTTCGTCCGATGCCGTTGCAACCCTCTCCTCCTTCCTCGAGGGGCGAAGGGGGGCTATCCTCCTGTCCTGGGCGCGCTTCCACACATTCCTCTTGGTCGATTTCATGACATCCGGAATCGGGTCGTTGCGGGACGTTCGTGGTTCCGTCCAACTCTAAGTCGGCCTCAGGCACGGCGATCCCATCGGATTCAAGTTCCTTGCCTCCGACGAACCCTTGATCAACTGTCGAAGCAACCATTTGCTTAAGGGCGTTCTCACAGTCGTTCTCGCGGTCGAGCAAATGGCCGGCGTCCTGGATGCCGTTGGCACCAGCGAAACGTTCGCCTTTGTTGCTTTCAACACGTCGTACGGTGCGCCTCAGGCGGCCGCGTCCAGACCCTTCGGCGACACCACCACCGCTACAGCCATACCTTCTTTCCTTTCCCGATTCGGAGTTGGACCACAAGCGAGCGCTTCGCTGTCCTTGGACGACGGAACGGTCAACGCCGACCACGGCGATACGTTCGGCGCGGCCGTCAACACCACTGCTGCCTGTATGGCCGAACCTTTCACCACCTAGTGGCTGTCTTTCTCCACCCCGTATAGGGCTTGATCTCCCGCCCCTCTTAAGTCTTTGTCGAGGTGCCGCGGTGAGGGGAGAAAAAAAGCGGCAATCAGTTCGTGACACGCCAGCAGAGAGTATATCGTATTGACGTCACGAGGGCAAGCCGAGATCCAGATCCTCATCTGGGTCATGGTTTAGTAAACTAACGGCAAAGTGCTCTGCTCGGCCTGCAATGGTCCCCTGCGATGTGAGTTACGCCGGCAATCATGTGTCATGTTGATGTTACACAAACCAAACACGAGAATAGGAAATGTATTGATGTGCTTTACTAGGAGAGCAATGCCAATCCAGGAGAAGCAGTTGCGGCGCCCAGAGAGCAGGGTTTGCCCTGCCAACAAAAACTGCCGCACAAACTTTCATTCCTGGAGAAAAGACACTGCCTGGTGGACCTCCTGGAGGTCTTGTTGTGCTGTTACTCGGAAAGAAGCCACACCGCTCGCAGTAACTCAGGTGGTGTTTGATAGGACTTTGTGCGCCACGCAGTGTGGGTCGCTGGGGTGTTTCATTCGATCGTGCGTGTCCCCTATCATTTCTTCTGTTTGGTGATGACTCTAGCACTCCCATGAGCTTCAGCGTTTACGACGGGCGCGTAGTGCGAGAAACAAAAGTATCAACAATACAGAGCACTTTCAGCACATTTCGTTGTACCTGGTGTGGTTGCCGTCTTGACCCCTTTTGCCGCGACAGCCATTGGGTAACAAAGACCCGGACCGCGACCGCAGCCGCTGCATTGCACGAGACCTCGACCTCGAGCGGGACTGTGAACATCCCTCGCGCCCCTCCCAGGATACCTGACAGGTGTTCCGGCGACCAGAGTGCACCTCCGAGCGGCCACCGCGATCATGGCCGGCAATTAGCTGATGCCGAGGAGACAGTGCCGTCCAAGAAGAGCGCTCTTCGTGACCCTGACTTGGCCTACCTTCCGCAAGATCCGACCTCCCTGCCCCCCTCCCGTAGTATTCACAATCCGTTGATCCAGCTCTTCCCATTCCTCGAGCTTGACGAGTTTGATGACATGGGTGAGGACTTTTTTCCGTCTTAACTCCCCGAGTTTGCTGCCACCGCTCTCCGCCCCACCGGACTTGTCCGTCTTTTGTGAGACTTGCATGAGGGTTGCCTTTGCCGTTGCCGTTGCTGCTACCGTTGCCGGGGCTGGGGCTGCGACCGAGGCCACTCCCACCCCTACCGTTGCCACCACCGGTGCTATTGCTACGATCTTCAATTTTTCGGTACCACCGAGGGCGCGTTCGAGGTCGGATGTTGAACCTGATGCCCTTTCCTAAATCTCCAGCTGGTTTGGAAGCGTCAGGCGAGCGAACGCGTGGTATTGTTCATTTCGGGGAGTTAAGACTGAAATCGTGGAACGAGAAAGCCGAAAAAGAGTGGAGCACATCCGTGAGGTATTCTGCCACTACGCTGATCGAGCCCCCGAACCATGACTTTACAATCCCCAAAAGACTCACCTCACTGTTATCTAACGTGCGCGTCACATTGTTTACGGGGCCTAGGCCTCAGCCGCACATTCATTCGAAATGAAATAATGGTTCTCTATGATCAGGTGCCTCCTCTCCCGCAGGGTCTACGCGTCACACAATCATTGCTATTATCTTCAACCGGTATATCTTCGATGAACTAGACCTCCGGGGTTTCTCCGACGAAGCCCATCGCGCAGGCACCGTAGCAAGTTGTTTTGACGGCCAGTAAAATTCTTGCAAAAGTTTTGAGATATACAAGATGATGCGCCTCATATTTCTCCAAAGTGTTGCGGCTGCTACCGCGGCGTACGTGAAATGGTACTCACGCAGCGGGTGGTGGTTGTATCTCGAGATGAATTGCTTGGCCGCCTGCGTGCTCGCGAACGCCACGAAGCAATAGTTGTCGAAGGCCTTGCGCGTGATCGTAACCTCTGCCCCTGATAGAAACCGCGAAATATGAGGTGCCGGAAAACCAGAAAGTGAAGTTCAATGTCCTAGACAAGTACTGAGTTAGGAACAATCTACGTAGAGTCTTCCTTACGAATATCCAATGAACGGGGGGATATCGTTTCGATCGCCTTCCGTTTCGTTTCTCACTTGTGGGAGGTGACAGCAAGCGTTGATGGTATCTTCCACAATGCGTGCATATTGCACCACTTCAGTAATTGGCTCTTACCGTGATAATGGAAGAATCCTGCGATTGTTGCGTTGCTCCACTCAGCCTACAAACGAAAAACATCAGTAGAGCGCGACGTTCATATAAAACAAGCGTACACAGCGGAAACAATGACGATAATAACCGGAATTCAATTGGTAGCACGTCATGCCTAATGGCTCTATGTGGCGGTGGGACCCTGGATGGATCCGATGATGATGCGTTTTCCACGACAGACAATAGAGGGGGACCCAAACATCCTCTTTCTTACACTGTAGGGAAAGAACGACCGAGATGTCCTTGACGTCCTCGTCTTGCTCGCATGCACATGAGCACGGCGATGATGCCCTTCACATTTGTATGCACAATATCTACATGAGGTAAATACAGTAGTCCCGGTGCGGATATTGCGATAGCAGGCACTGGACATCGACAGTTGTAATTGATAGTGCTCCACAAAGGTGTATAGTCTACCGTAACTGACACAAGATAGCACACGCCCTGGACCGATTTTCAGATCCCGATTTCTCAACAGCAGATAGAGCCGCAGCGCCGAAAACGGTGGCGTTGAAGCTGTCTCGCCAAGAACTTTCCGAAAACGTGTTGTTTCATTTATGCACCCTCTTCGTCGTGGCGTAATCGAGCGAAAATTGATCGAGGGGGTGTGTTATCTTGTGTCATACACAGGAGTATCTTTTTTGCTTCAGGTAGGTACAAAATCTAGTTTTGTACAAATATGTAACTTTGAGAACTTGAACAGGTGCTCATCCAAAAAGGCTACGAAAAACCTACATAGATTGTACATATGCATACTGCAGTCTTACATGTATAGTCGCTGTTGGGCTACCCCATAGAGAAGATAAGAAACGAGCCTCGGCCTAAATAAGAGGTGCGGGTGCTAACTTGTAGTTTATGATGTAGAACTGCGCCCAGCACACGCATGGACCACAGCAGTGTAGGCTACTGCTGCTGTAGATTACTAGTCTATAGGAGTCAGGCACAGCAAAATAGTAGTGCTCATCAGAGGCCAACATGCCAAAGCAAGACAAGCTTACAAGCAACAAACACCTCTCTCCCGTTGTCGCCCACAGACAAGATCTATCTGTTGTGTGGATATGTATCTCCAAAATGCACCGCCTGCGCGGGCAAAAGATTCGCCTCATGTAAGTCTACCTGGAGAGTACCCATCCAGAGCACATGTCCATGGATCTCATCCCACCGCCTCCATTCGTTTTTGTTCCACTCGGGTTGCGGCACGCTTGCCTCTCGCACGACTGCTGAACGTCGTCCCGCCATATTCGCACTCGGCGTTGCTTGTTGTCTCGACTTCGGTTTTCGCTTCCTCCTCCCTCGCATATCACCACCACCACCACTACCACCGTTGTTGTGTTTGTCTGGCATTGAAATATCAAGCCGCCACTTTTTTACTGCTCCCTGTTGGTGCACGCGCGTCTTCTGGTCTCGGCACGTTGGATGTGGGCTTCACGATCCTCGAGGAAACGCAGCTCTGGGTCAGGCGTTCGTTGGTGGGATTCAGTATGTGATGGGGTGGTTCCCGTCCGGGACGACCAAGATCGGAAACCTCTTGCCGCAGACTACTGCTGTGTTATTGTCGCAAACACGCGATATCCACCACTCACACCGGCTCTATACTGGGTTTTACCCGCCGCTTGTTTTGGATACCATAGACTATGCACCGCCCTTCTTCCCCTCGCTGCCTCGGGAAGGTTTTGCGTAGGCATCATCCATAGCGAGGCGGGGGGTCTTTCTAACGAGCAGGGCTAGACTCACCCTCAAGGGACCGATACCTTCTTGCTGCGGCGCACCCGCCGCGAGGCGTGCGTAGTGGTGGAGTTGAGTCGGCACTGGTGCGTCAGGTACACAATGGTGCAGATACGCGGGCCTCCAGGCCGTCGGTGTAGGCAGCAATGCCCATCTCATCTTTGTGCGCGGAGGCAGACGTCATCAGAAAGGTGGACGGGCAATGTGTACACGGCCCTAGGTTTGCTAGAGGGAGCTGTACTGTCTCAGTAACCTGGTCTTGCCATCAAAGGAGGAGGGGGCAGGTGGTGACGAGCTGGTTGAGCTGGTTGACCCTTCGGCGCGAGAAATTTTCAAACCAAGAACCTCAAGTAAGTGCAACGAGGGAGAAAGCGAGGAACCGACTGGGAAGGACAGCAACGAGAGCGTGGACGAAGCGGAGCGGGTCGAGTTTGGTCGTGCTAGGACTGGCCACAGCATCACCGGAGCAACGGCACCGGAGCAGCGTCACCGGAGCAGCGTCACCGGAGCATGCGGACGGCATCGAACCGTGGCGCACGGACAAACATCTCTTTTCAATTGTTTTCCGTTTTTTCCCTGAATCTAAATTAAAGATGTTGGGTGTGCGTGATGACGTCACTAGATTTGTAGAGAGACGCGGCAGAGATGGCGCGGATAACCCGGGTGCCTTAATTGTGTACCTGCATCGTGGAAGACCCCTTCAATGTGGAACGATTCCTATTCAGTGTCGATGTTTACATTGCTGTGCCTAGCACAGATGATCTGGATAGATTTGGGTGATGATTGTCAATTGCAATTAGACTATTATGGCTTTGGTTGGGTGTTCTTCATTGTGTATGTATGTCCATGGACTCATTCTGACGGCACTTCAGACAGCAGCTGCATGCCCCGAGCTTGTATAGCACCATGGTGATATTATTGTACAGACAGCACTTCAGACAGCAGTACGCTGTAGTCGACAAACATTCATTTTGGTTGAATGCGGGACAAGGGGGGTGATGCTGCCGCTGTAGTCGAATTGTAGTGTGTGGGCGTGCGTGTAGACTAGAAGTGCAGTTGTGAGCACGCAAACGTGCTGCAGGGATTGTAGGTGTACCTCCTCGGGCTTGTGTACCCTTTTCTGGCTAATAGTGTGAGTGTTCTTTAGATCTTCTGATGGCTCTAGCATTTCTGTGACCACGGACCGAGTCTTTGCTAGATTTGGGGATTCGCAACTGACACGAGTTTAATGTGAAGAAAGACAACAAGAACAACTAGACTATGTATAACATGATCAGGAGGACGCTTGAACGACGCGCAGCAAGGAGGGACCCAAGGCAAGGCCCTTACCTTCAAGGATTTTTATCCGCACATCTACATGTAACATGTTGCAGCATCCACGCGCGCGTGCACAGAGAGTGTAGTCTACAGCAAACCGTTGTAGATGTAGTACGGACTGCGGCCGTACAGCAGAGTTGTCTTCCTTCTCGATTCTTTTTGCACGCGCTTCTGGGGGACGTTTTCACGTTGAATTTCACGGTTTCCTTTTTACATGAGAGCCAAAGGACTCTCCCTGTTCAGCTGTTTCGGCACAGTTTCCGAAGCAGAAACACCTAGACTACTGTATTCGGATTGGAAAAGAATTATTATTGGATGTTTTGTTTTTCGCGAGATTCTAGAGCGGAGCTCAAAACCGAGGTAATTGCTGAACCCAGAACACAACACCACCTACACCTAGACTACACCCCCCACACCCACACCAACGGGGCGCGAAAACAGAGGTTATTTGTTATTTACGGTCTGACCGGATGTTGAACCGTAGCTCCGCTCACGGGATGTGTCACACACCGTGGACGACCCAACCCAACTCAACCCTAACCCTCACCCATGGCCAATGCACTGCCTATAGCGGCCGCGAACTGGGCGAAAGTGGCTGCGCCGCGTTGTAGGAATGCGGAACAGAGAGAGGGCACTGGCGAGGAATCAACGGCCCGAACCAACGCTCGACCGATCAGAGGGCGTCAAAGCTCGTAGATGGGGAGTCACGAACAGATCGTACATGCTTCTGAAATTTGCATTTGCCCCGCTGCTTTTCGATTGTTTACGACAGCCGAATGGACTGCAAGGGCGCCATTCGGCGACCCAAATCCACATCGTTTTCTCTACATGGGAGCATGCGCAGGTTTGTCTGAGGCACCCCCACTTCCCCGTGAGTCACACCCTAAAAAAAATAATTACTCGCGACGTGCCGGACCCGTTGCCCTCCCCCCCATCAAGCCCCGTTGCTTTCTCGTATTTTTGGATTACAGTCAGCGTGGTAGCGGGGTCCTTGCCGATCAAAGCAAATCACGATACACGTGTGTTCGACTTTGTTGTCCCCATCGAGGGTTGAGGGCTGCCGTCTATTCCTTTGGCCGGCGGGCTAGCGGTCGACACTGCTTGTAATTCGAGACACACAAGTGCGCGCCCGACAGAGAGCCAACGGAAAAGAAAACCATGTTCGTGCGTTGTCCGGGTACATGACCATCCCCTTTGCATTGATCTGCCCGCTAACGCACCGCTAACGCGGTCGACGAAAAAAAAAACCACACTCACAGACACATGCACGACCGTGGTTTGGCGATGTGCCACTATTCATCTTCAGAACCACGCCTTTTTTCATTGGGTAGCCGGTTGTCGCAGTTCGTTGTCAATTATTAAAGATGCCCCCCCCCCCCCCCCCCCCCCCCCCCCCCCCCCCCCCCCCCCCCCCCCCCCCCCCCCCCCCCCCC